CCGGCCCACACCTCCATGCTGGGCAGGTGGCTGGGCTACCTGGGCCTGCTGCTGCTGGACGTGGCCATCTGCCTGCTGGCGCTGGTGGGCCTCATCCGCAGTTCCAAGGGCATCCTCGTAGGGTGAGTGTGGGCCTGCGACGCGGGGGGTGTGGGGGGGGGCGCCCAAGCCGGTCTCCCTGAGTCAGCCCCTCCCCACCCTCCTTCCTCAGCGGGTCAGGCACAAGGCCTGCCTGGGGAGGAGCCACAGGCCTGTGTGGGCGGACCCCCAGGGGTGCCCTGGGGCCTGGCCCTCTGGCTGGCATCCCAGCAGGTGGCATGAACCCCCTCACCTGGGGGTGCTGATTGGCTTTCATTGGCCCAGGGTCTGCCTGCTGGGGGTCCTGGCCTTGGTCATCAGCTGGGGTGCGCTGGGCTTGGAGCTGGCTGCGTCTGTGGTGAGTGGAGGAGGGGATCCCTGTCTGCTGGGTCGAGTCATGGGGGAGCCACACTTCTCGCCCCTCCCCCTCCCGTGGGACATGAGGGCCCAAAGGGGCAGGTCCTGTCCTTGGCACACAGCGAGGCAGTGCCCCCAGGGCCTGGATGCCTGGCCTGCCCAGCACCCGCCAGGAGCGCCTAGACCAGCGGTTCTCAACCTGTGGGTCGCGACCCCTCTGGCGGTCGAATGACCCTTTCACAGGGGTCGCCTAAGACCATCCTGCATATCAGATATTTACATGACGATTCATAACAGTAGCAACATGACAGTTATGAAGTAGCAACAAAAATAATGTTATGGTTGGGTCACAGCATGAGGAACTGTATTTAAAGGGCCAGAAGGTTGAGAACCACTGGCCTAGAGCCAGTGTCCCTGTTCGGGGTGGGGACCCAGGGGTGGGAACCAAGCTCTACCTCTGAGAGCGGAGGGTTGGGGGGCCTAGACTGGTAACCCCATTTTCCTTGCCTACGTCCATCCCAGGGCTCCAGTGACTTCTGTGTGGATCCCGACGCCTATGTGACCAGGATGGTGGAGGAGCACGCGGTGCTGAGTGGGGGTGAGCCTGTGCCCACCTGAGCTGGCACCAGGGGCGGGGCTGGGAAGACCCACCTGAGTGAGGCCGGGCACCCCGCCCTGATGGACCCTCGGTCTGGGGCTGGGTCTGGGGAGGCAGGACCTCCCCACCACAGGAGGCTGGTGAGTGGGAGGCTGTGGAAATGAGGACAGGCACCGTGAGTCCAGCGATGACGGGAGGGGGCAGGTGGCCGTGGGGAGGGGCGAGGGGAGCGAGTGATGGGGGCAGCGGGTGATGATGGCTGCTCAGGCACGTAGTCAGGGTGGCCTGCCGAAGAGGTGGCATTAAAGTTGAACCAGAAGACTCAGTGTGTCCTGTGCAAAGGCCCTGAGGCAGAGACAAACTTATGTTCGTGAGGCAGAACATAGACCTGTTGGGAGGGGAGGGGAGGGGGGAGGAGGCCTCAGGGCAGGTTGTGGCCGGAGCCTGGACTTGACTCTGGGCCCGTTGGAGGGTGGGGAGCAGGGGGGATGGAGGCCTTTTGGCCGCTTTGGGCTGCTGGTGCGCGTGGCCTCCGGAGGGAGCAGGGGCGGAGACGGGGCGCCCTGAGCCTAAAGGGGCCTGGAGCGCAGTTCTGCTGCCTGCACACGCGTGGAGCCTGCAGGCTGTGTGGCGGGGGCGGAGCTGGCGGGACTTCCCCAGAAGTGTGGGTGCAGGGGGAGGCAGCAGGACTCCAGGCTGTGGGCTGAGTGGGGGGCAGAGCCTGGGGGTGCTGAGTGGCCCTCGTGGGACTGCCGTCCCCCCTTTGCCCAGGAAAGCCCCGGGTTTTAGCTTATTGTGTTCAGGAGCTGTTTCCACCTCAGCCTGGGGCGCCCCCATGTGGGGGAGGAGGGAGGGAGCCAGGTCTGCGGGGAGGGGGGGGCGCTGGCAGGGCCCTGACAGCTGTCCAAAAAAACAGGGTCAAGGGTCAGGGTCAGTGGTCAGGGGTCAGGGTCAAGGGTCAGGGGGCAGGGTCAAGGGTCAGGGGGCAGGGTGAGATTTAATGCATAGCCCCTAATATGATAAGGTTTGGGATAAGGTTTGGGATAAGGTTTGGAATAAGGTTAGGGATATGGTAAGGGTAAGGTTTAGGGTTAGGGTTAGGGTTAGGGTTAGTGTTAGGGTTAGTGTTAGGGTTAGGGTTAGGGTTCTGCAAAGGCAGAGCCCCTAATGGCATAGGGATAGGATTAGGGCTAGGGTTAAAGCCCAGGGTCAAGTTGTCAGGGTCAGATCAAGGGTCAGGGTGAAGGGTCAAGGGTCAGGGTGAAGGGTCAGGGGCGGCGCGGCCCCCGGAGAGAACCAGCCCCTCGGGGGACACTCAGAGCAGAGGGTCGGGCCCTGGAAGCCATCCCCCCTCACACGGGAACGTAGGCGCTCGGTGCGGGCAGACGCACGGGCAGATCCGCCCACATGCAGGTACCACCACAGGCCAGTGCGTGTGTGCCCGCAGAATGCAGTGTACACGCGACATGCACGCAGGTGTGTCCGTGCGCACACATGTGCTGGTGTGAGCACACACGTAGCCACGCGCGCAGACACGGAAGCGGCAGCCTCTGAGCTGCCGGCTCTCCACCACCCTGCCCCGGGGAGGCCGCCCCAGGGTACAGAGGGGAGCACCAGGTGGGCCCCACCCTTCGTCTCCTACGTCCGCAGCCCACGGTCCACTCGGCCATTGACCCTAGGCCCTGGGGACACAGCTGGGCGAACACTGGGCTGATGTCACTAAGTGCCCCTTTGGGGTGGCCTGCTGATGCCCCCAAATCCCTGGGACTCACTCCTTTCATTTCCTGGGTCGCCCTCGGCCAGCCCTACAGGCCAAGCCAGTGGTGGGCGTGGCGGGTCCCCGGGAAGCCTCGCCCTGAGGATGCTGTGTCCCCTTGGGGTAACTGGGCAGGTGTGGGCGTGGGTTTGAGGGGAGCCCTTAGCCCGCTGCCCACCGCTCCCCGTGACTGAGGACCATCTGCTTTAAAGGTGCCGTATCTTCCGGGTGCCAGGGCCCCTGCCGGCCAGGGTGGGGTGACCCACCAGCCTCCAGAGCGGCGTGCTGGCGCCCCCTCGGGCCCCGGCGCAGCCACTCACCCTGGACGCCCCATGTGGGCAGGGCCCCGGGCGGGGGTGGGCGCTGGCTGTGGCCCTGCTGCAACCGCGGCCTCTCTCTGAGCAGAAGCTGTCGGGCAGCCACAAGGCGCTGGTGGAGATGCAGGACATCGTGGCCGAGCTCCTGAGGACGGTCCCCCGGGAGCACCCGGCCACGCAGGTGAGGCCGGGGCGGGGCCCACATCCACAGGCGGTGACTCCAGCGGGCGTCACCCTTCCCTCTGCGTCCCTGAGGATGTGTGGAGGGCTCTTTAAAAAGTTCTGCCTCTTAATGTATGAATCAAATGGGCGTCCTGGGGACTCGGGACTGAGCTCTCCCGGTGCTCAGGGCCCAGCCTGGGACACGCACACACGGTGCACACACGGTACACACGGTGCGCACACATACAGTGCACACACGGCACACACACAGTGCACATGCACACACGGGGCACACACACAGCACACATGGTGCACACAGCGCACGGCACACACACGGTGCACGCACAGTGCACACGCACACACGGTGCACACACACACACTGCACACACTGCACAGCCCACCCCCGGCCTCCCTTCTTGGTGTTCTGCACCTGAGTGAGTGGGGAGGGAGGTGTGTCAGCCACTGGTGTCTTCACAAAGTCACCCGGAGGCTTCGACCTCTGTGCCTCAGCCCTGGAAGCTCAGGTCCCAGGTCAGGTGTGGGCAGGCTGGCTGCTCCTGCTGTCAGTGTCCTTGGCATGTAGACACGGCACAATGTGGGCACCATTGCAGACGCACACACACAGACACAGCACAGATGACACAAGCAGGCACACAACAATGGAGACGCACAACAATGCGGACACACACCACGCAGGCGCACTGCAACACAGACACGATCGGGCTCGCCCTGCACGTGTTGTCGGGAATGTTTGCTGTTTAAATGCCGTGAAATCTCCCTTGGTCTTGAACTGCTTCTGGAATTGCAACTTGTAAAGAACTGGCCATGTCAGGGTACGTGGTGTTTCTGTCCCTCCCGTCGCAGTAAAGGGACACATAGTGGTGGCGCCTGGGACAGGCGTTTGTGGTCTGTCCTTGCGTCCTCAGCTGTCCCCATGGCTGGCCACGGACTCTGGGGATGCGGTTTCTCAAAGCCCAGGACCCTGGAGGTCCGTGCCAAGGTCACAGGGTTGAGGGTGGTCTCCGTGCAGGGGGCTGGGCTGGGTGAAGACCTGGAGGCTCCCCCTCCTGACCGTGCGCTGACCGGGCGCGGCGTGTGCCCCCAGGACCCTCTGCTCCGCGTGCAGGAGGCGCTGAACGGCACGGAGGTGCACCTGCAGCACCTCACGGCGCTGGTGGACTGCCGCAGCCTGCACCTGGTGAGCGCTGAGCCGGGGCTGCAGCGGGGGAGGGCAGCCCGGGTGGGCAGCCTGGAGGCCAGCTCCTGGGGCCGGGGGACGGTCCAGCATGTCCGTCTCTCCTGCGGCCTCAGGACTACGTGCAGGCGCTGACCGGCCTCTGCTACGATGGCGTCGAGGGCCTCATCTACCTGGCCCTCTTCTCCTTTGTCACCGCGCTCATGTTCAGCTCCATCGTCTGCAGCGTCCCACACACCTGGCAGCAGAAAAGGTGAGGGCCCGGGCCCGCCAGCTCCCCAGGCCCTCCCGACACCCCGTCCCCGTCCCCAGAGCCAGGGACGAGGGCCCCTCACCTCCACGCCT